GCCCTCTCAAAAAAAAAAAAATGTGGTATATCCATACAATCAAATATTATTCAGCCATAAAAACGAATGAATTTGAATGAAGGAATAGTCCAACATGAATGAACCTTAAAGACAGTATGCTAACTGAAATAAGACAAACACAAAAGGACACACTGTATGATTCCACTTATAAAAGTTATTAGGGAAATTAATGAAATCAGAAAATAGATTTGGGGTTACCAGGGGCTGGAGTGGAGGGAAAATCAAGAGTTATACTTAAAAACTATGGAGTTTCTGTTTGGAGTGATGAAAACCTTTTGGAAATAGTGGTGATGGTTGCACAACATAACGGGTATAATTAATGCCACTGAATTGTATCTAAAAATAGTTAATATGGTAGGGTTTGTGTTATGTATATTTTACAACAATTTTTAAAAATATAAAAAAGAGAAAGGAAAGGGGGAAAAAAGTAGTGGTTCTTCCAGTGCGGTTGGGGGAGAAGGGACAATGCTAATTTTTAAAACCTTCCCAGTAATCCTAATGTATAATTTTCTTGTGCAAGAACCACTTGACTAGATTATCTAAGGGCCTTTCTTGCTATAAGATTTAATGAATCTATGAGGTGCTGCATGACTAAGGAAGATAGAGAGTGGCACAAGGCTGGACATTTTTTTTTTAAGTAAATACTGAATCCAGATTTGAACCCTAGCTACATAACTTATTAAATATGTGACCTTGGGCAACTTAACCTATAATAGTATTATCTCATTGCATAGAATATTAAAGTCAGCTAATATGCACAAAACACTTAGTATCTGGTACTAAGCAAATGCTTAATAAATTTAATTATATTTTCACATTACTCTGCCTGGAATGACCTGCTCCTCTCCATTTCTGCCCTTGTCTACCTGTTAAGCTCACATTTATGCTCCAGTGGTTTGCTCAAGTGTTACTTCCTCCTTTGCAAAGTCTTTTCTGGCCTCTCCCATCTCTGTGCCCTACTGCATTCATTCATTTAGATCCTGCCTTTCCACCAGATGGTACACTTCTGACTGGAGACTTTCTCACCATTATATCCTCAGTCACTAACAATGCCTGACACATACTGGCACTCAATAAATGTTTGTTGGATGGAATGGAATGGATTTGAAGACCAAGAAGAGGGAGACATGGAAAAGAATGGGGAATGATATTAAGACAACTAACATCTCTATAGGATCTTATAGGCTCAGTCATCTACCTCTTATCTCTTAATATCACTGCTCAATCAATGGTAGTCTTAGATAACTAAAAGCCTTGCTTCCCTTGATAATTCAGACTGCAAAAACATTTGAAAGAACTCTCTGCATTTACCCTGTGTATTAGTTAGGGTTCTCCGGAGAAACAGAATCCGTGGGATGTAACATGTATACATATACACAAAGAGACTTATTTTAAAGAATTAATTAGCTTGTGATTGTGGCAGCTGGCAAGTCCAAAATATTCAGGATAGGACAACAAGTTGGAGACTCAGAGTAGAGTTGCAGTTCAAGTCCACTTGGTCTGCTGGCAGAATTTCCTTCTCCTCGGGGTATGTCAGTCTTTTGTATTAAAGCCTTCAACTGACTTTATGAGGCCTACCCACACTATGGAGGGCAATCTGCTTTACTCAAATCCACCAATTTAAATGTAAATCTCATCAAAACATACCCTCATGGAAACATCCAGAATAATCTTCAGCCAAGTTGACACATAGTATTAACTATCACAGCCTCATCCTCTGCTTGTCCTCCACATGCACAAAAATTCTGGCTATTCCAAACTATAGGGAACTCTTTGAATATGTCACTATTTTTCATGTCCTTGAGTTTTTACATACACTTGTATGGAATACTCTTCCTCCTTTTTCACCTGGTAAATTCCTGCTCATTCTTTAAGGCTCAGATTAAATATCACCTCTGAAAACTTCCCTAGGCCCATAGAATTTTTTGCATTAAATCACAGCTGGGTTTTCGTCTTTCTCTTCCACTAGATCTGTGAGGGTTTTAACCCCATGGGTATTAAATTAGGCACTATTAATTTTTATATTTGCAGCATCTAACACAGCTTGGCATGAGATGGATATTCAATAAACGTTTATTAAATTAATGAAGTTTTTTTAATGAAGCAGTTTTGTTAAGAACAAAAGTAATGTAAATAAATGGATTTAAATGGCCAGTAAGTCAAACAGGGAGCCTTATCTACAAAAATACGTAAAGGTCATGAATAATACTTCAAGAATAATCAAACATCAGGGTGTGCAGTTTGGCTTTAAGAGAATTTGTTTATTTAGATTTTCTGCCTCTAGCTCTATTTCCCTGCTAGGTCTCTCATACTTCTTTTAATATTAAAGATCTCAGGTATAACTGGGGTTATCTCTTAAGTAATGTGTACCTCTTTTTCTTAGTTAAACCATCCTTGACCACTTAGGAAGAGTGTTAGATAAGCATCACCAGGGTGAGCTTAGTAGCTATGTCCCTGCTTCCCAATGTAAGCCCCACAGTTTGGCCTAGTCAAGTGAGTCCCACCACCACCAAGTCCACAGAAGTTCCTCATCAGCCTTTCCTGGGTTCAATCAACACAAGTTCTGACTCAGGAGGTATTTACTACCATTAGATCTCTAAATAAAAAATAATTTTTATTCCTATTACAAAAGCAATATATTTTTATTGTAGAAACTACAATAAGTAGATTGTGGATTCTTCCAGGCCTTTTTCTATTTGTCAACATTTTTTTCCCCAAAAAATGGTATGAAACACTATACCTTATTTTATAACTTCCCCATTTTATTTATCACTACATTGTAAATATTTTTCCATGTCACTAAATATTCTGTAGCATCACTTTTAGTGGCTAGTTAGTATGGATGCAACAATGGGCCTTGAATTCAGTGGGTCACTCATTAACTTCAGCTCTCAGAGCTGAAAGGCAAATGGGATGACTGCTGCCACCAATACTTTATGCACGGATAGATCCATAATTATCACAGGAATAGCCACCTATGTGAGATGAACAGACAAAGTTTTTTAAGTTTTCCCATTGAATGTAAATGAAGAAATGGTTTCATATGGCCAAGCAAAGAGTGTAAAAGAACAGGAGATTGCCTCAAGCAAGGGAAACAAAAGCAAAAATGAACTCATAGGACTACGTCAAACTAAAAAGTTTCTGTACAGCAAAGAACACCATCAACAGAACAAAAAGGCATCCTACAGGATGGGAGAATATATTTGTGAATGACATATCTGACAAGGGGTTAACATCCAAAATATATTAAGAACTTACACGCCTCAACACCCAAAAAGCAAATAACCCAGTTAACAAATGGGCAGAAGATATGAAGAGACAGTTCTCCAAAGAAGAAATTCAGATGGCCAACAGACACATGAAAAGATGCTGCACATCACTAATCATCAGGGAAATGCAAATTAAAACCACAATGAGATATCACCTCACACCAGGAAGGATGGCCAGCATTGAAAAGACTAAGAACAACAAGTGCTGGTGAGGATGCGGAGAAAGGGGAACCTTCCTACACTGCTGGTGGGAATGGAAGCTAGTTCAACCATTGTGGAACACAATATGGAGGTTCCTCAAAAAACTAAAAATAGAAATACCGTTTGACCTGGGAATCCCACTCCTTGGAATTTACCCAAAAAATACAACTTCTTAGATTCAAAAAGACATATGCACCCCTATGTTTTTCGCAGCACTTTTTCCAATAGCCAAGAAATGGGAGCAACCTAAGTGTCCCTCAGTAGATGAATGGATAAAGAGGTGGTACATATACACAATGGAATACTATTAAGCCATAAGAAAGAAACAAATCCTACCATTTGCAACTACATGGATGGAGCTGGAGGACATTATGCTCAGTGAAATAAGCCAGACGGAGAAAGACAAGTGCCAAATGATTTCCCTCACTTGCGGAGTATAACAATGAAGCAAAACTGAAGAAACAAAATAGCAGCAGACTCAGAGACTCCAAGAAGGAACTAGTGGTTACCAAAGGGGACGGTTGTGGGAGAGCGGGTGGAGAGGGAGGGAGAAGGGGATTGAGGGGTATTATGTTTAGTACACATGGTGTGGGGGATCACGGGGAAAACAGTGTAGCACAGAGAAGGCAAAAAGTGAATCTGTGGCATCTTACTACACTGAGGGACAGTGACTGCACTGGGGTATGGGTGGGGACTTTATAATATGGGTAAATGTAGTAACCACATTGTTTTTTCAGGTGAAACCTTCATAAGAGTGTATATCAATAATACCTTAATAAAATTTTTTTTAAAAAACAGGAGATTAATCAAGAGTTTGCCTTGATTAATGTTTGCCTTTTGTTCTCCATTCAGACATTATCTATGGAGAGAAACTAGCTGAGACTAAAAGTGAAATACAGTATGTCTTCATATTTTGTGTGTTTATTTAGGATCAATATACTGTTTGGTTTTGAAAGGATTTAAGGCAACCATTCTGACTTATAGAATTGCAAGATAATAAATTCCTGTTGTCCTAAACCACCAAGTTTGTGTTAACTTGTTACAGCAGCAAACAGAAAACTCATACCATCATTCTGTGTATGTCTAAAGATCAGATATGTAATTCTTAGAAGACACATACATGTGTATATGTGGACAAAACAACTGCCTGCCTATAGATCATGAATTTCCATGGAAAATAATTTTTTATCTTCTTAAGATGTAGAAAAGTACTGGCTGAGACTGCAAAGTTCTGGGTCAAGTGACATAAACAAGATTATTTTAGCCTAAGGTAGAAACTACTTGCTGGCTTGTTTGCCCCATGTGGCACTTGTTTAAAGTGTCTGCTTTTAAAAACCACATCCTTGACCCGTGTGCATGGTGCAGGTTATGGCCACCGCTTCTCCGCTTCTTCCCCTCCCCTACTTTCCTCCCTCCCTCCCTTTCCCAACCTGGGCGGCGGTTGGTCGCCTGTCGCAGACTCCCTGACCCATCCCTAAACCTTATCCTGACCTCTGTGCCTCCGCGTAGGCCTCCTTTTCCTGTTTCTAGGCCCAGCCCAGTGTCGGGAGGAGGCCTCGAGGAGACAGAGGCGCTGCAGCTGAGGACAGAAACGACAAGACGACCCTCGGCTCCTTAGCAAGATCGCTCGATTCACCGCCGCCATGGCGATGAGGCAGACCCCGCTCACCTGCTCGGGTCACACGCGGCCTGTGGTGGATTTGGCTTTCAGTGGCATCACTCCTTACAGCTATTTCTTAATCAGCGCTTGCAAAGATGGTAAACCTATGCTACGCCAGGGGGATACAGGAGACTGAATTGGAACATTTTGGGGCCATAAGGGTGCTGTTTGGGGTGCAACATTGAATAAGGATGCCACCAAAGCAGCTACAGCAGCTGCCGACTTCACAGCTAAAGTGTGGGATGCTGTCTCAGGAGATGAGTTGATGACCCTGGCTCATAAACACATTGTCAAGACTGGATTTTACGCAGGATAGTAATTACTTGTTAACCAGAGGACAGGATAAACTGTTACGTATATATGACTTGAACAAACCTGAGGCGAAACCTAAGGAAATCAGTAGTCACACCTCTGGTATTAAAAAGGCTCTATGGTGCAGTGAGGATAAACAGATTCTTTCAGCTGATGATAAAACTGTTCGATTTTGGGATCATGCTACTATGACAGAAGTGAAATCTTTAAATTTTAATATGTCTGTTAGCAGTATGGAATATATTCCTGAGGGAGAGATCTTGGTAATAACTTATGGACGATCTATTTATTGCTTTTCATAGTGCAGTAAGTTTGGATGCAATTAAATCTTTTGAAGCCCCTGCAACCATCAATTCTGCATCTCTTCATCCTGAGAAAGAATTTCTTGTTGCAGGTGGTGAAGATTTTAAACTTTATAAGTATGGTTATAATAGTGGAGAGGAATTAGAATCCTACAAAGGGCACTTTGGTCCTATTCACTGTGTGAGATTTAGTCCTGATGGAGAACTCTATGCTAGTGGTTCTGAAGATGGAACATTGAGACTGTGGCAAACTGTGGTAGGAAAACATATGGCCTTTGGAAATGTGTGCTTCCCGAAGAAGATAGTGGTGAACTGGCAAAGCCGAAGATCAGTTTTTCAGAGACAGCGGAAGAAGAGCTAGAAGAAATTGCTTCAGAGAATTCAGATGCTATCTATAGTTCAACTCCCGAAGTAAAGGCCTGATCATCAGGCATATGCCACATATAGTATACAACTTATGAACTTAAACAAGCAAGCAGAGACAAGTGTCGGCCTTCCAGAGTTACTCTCTGCTTAAAGAAAACAGCAGTAAATAATGAGGAATATGAAGTAGCTCCAGTGCTGGAACTAACTTGGTGTTACCTGGAAGTGAAAATGGAAGTGTATCAGATGAAAGCAGGTGTAGTTATTCTCTTACAGTGTGATGGCCTGTTGTCTTTTTAATGAATATATGCAAGCCAACATCCAATTTCTCTTACTACACTTAGATCTCTTGTACCTGTTTATGTTATTATGAAGAAAAATATATTTGCCTATTTTTCTGACTTTTACCTTAAGGCAGAATGCTTGTTTTTTTTTTTTTGTCTTTTTTTTTTGCTGTAGTTGTAAAGAAGAGGGAATACATGATAAAGTAACTGGTTTGTTTTCTTTCATTGTATACTGCTTCTGAACATCTAATTGTTTTTACTTGTCTAAATAAAATGCCTCTAAACAAATCAATGTTTGTTTCTTGGGAAAAATAGAAAAATGGATAGGTTTGAGTTTTGTAACTGGAAATCACCCAAAAGTTTTTCTGTATCATAACTAGTATCGAAAGACAATGTGATTAAAGAGTCCAACTTACATACTGTTTTGTAATTTTGAAATTCAATTACTTTACTGAATTTTTGAAATTTTCTTGTCCTTTGCTGGGTTCCATTACCTCTTTCCTAGATGAGAGAGAAGTGCTTGATTTGCCTTATTAAAAACCTTCCAGAATAATTATTAAAGTGACAGATGCTAGTTATAAGAAAAAATAAAGCAAATCAGAATTGGCAGAAAAAATCACTCAATCCCACCCCCCCAAAATTTATTGAGCATTAATGCATGTTAGTATGTATACCTCTGTGTGTGTATCTGTAGATAGAAAAAAAAGATTTTATACAAATGGGATAATTGTAGACCTGCAGTGGTTATTTTACTTTATCCTTTGTGTTCAGGTGGGATTCAAAAAGCCTTTCTACCAACCTTCTAATAAAATGGATCAACTAAGTTTAGACTTTTATTTATTTTTTAAAAAGGGAAGAATATTAATTAGACTAGTAATATGGAAAAAGTTTAGATAAAAAAATATCTGCCAAATTGCTTTTTCTCTTCTTATTTATCTTATGAGTGACCCATAATAACTTTCGTTAAACAACCAACCAAAGAATAAAATAAGTTTTTGAGGATTGTGGTTACCCAAAGGAAGCACATGATAGCCTTAAAGGACCAAGAGGGGTGTGCTGTGGGGAGAGCCAACTGATATAATGGTCCACAGGGCCTCATAGAGAAATAGTGTTTGTGTCACCTTGTCCTCTGCCTTGTGGCAGCAGTATTGTCAATGTACCATGGGTTGCTCAGGCTCTAGTTGACTTATCCTAAATAAAGTATGTACCACAAAAACAAAAAAAAACAAAAAAAAAAAACAAAAAAAAAAAAATCCTTGTGGATCAAATAGAAGAAAAGTGAATTATAAAACATCTCTCAGTGGCTGAGTAAACTAGCATGCTGGATGTAGTTACTAAATGTTGAATCAGAACTTTGATTGGATGCCACCAAATAGGACTTTGAATTAACAACTAATGTTGGACAACAGGTCTAACCAATTCTGGAGGCAGCAGATCTGAATCTGAATTCTGTTTCTATCACTTTCTACCTGTGTATACATCACTTGACGTTTCTGAATCTTAGTTTCTTTATCTGTGAGATGGGTGATATTACCAACTTGAAAAGGTTATTAATAAGGATTTAATAAAAAGATACATCAAAGACACCTAGAACAATACTTGGCACATAGCAGATGCTCAATAAATACTAGCTGCTTCCTTCCTGTTGGTCCAATACTATGGAGATTTTGTCATTAGCATTGAAGTAATGATTGTTTTCCTCTCTCCTCTGTTTCCATAGCAAAAAGGCTGATACACAGTTTCTGAACTGCTAGATGAGAAGTTTTTAAAGGCTAAAAACGTGCATTCAATGAAATATGCCTAAAGGCCCAGCTTGAAGTCTGCTGCAGCCCTTCCAATGATTTTAGAAACTTCTGATTTCTTGTGTTATATCTCTTTCTAATTCAAGGAGCTAGTGTGATTTTTATTATCTGCAACTCATCTCTGTCAGATATACAGATATACTGGCATACCATGTAAGATTTAAAATTGAATCCCAACAACCAAGGAACCTCTCCAGCCTACTCAGCTTTTAACAATATTATTTCAATACAGATGCTAAGAAAGCTTTAATATATTGAAATTTATGGAAGAAATTATTCACACATAATGCCAGTCTAAAGAAGCCAAGACTGAGGATAATACTGGTGATTCTTCTAATAGTCTTAAATTGCTATTAACTCTTCTTGATGGGATAGGAAGGTGGTATATAACAGTAATTCATAGTAAGCAGCTTGCCTGCATTTTGCTGCTCATGTAGTTATTGTTTGGGGAAAATAGCCTACAATTTATAAAGAAAGCTAGAATAGATTTTTTAAAGAATCAGGCAGGATTGGTTGGTAGTCTGGGGTAATAAAAACATAAGATTTCCTGTAAGATGAGTAGACAGCACTTTGAGCTCATACTGAAGAAATGCATGTCAATTGTGGTAGATAAGGACTTACAACTGCTAATTAGGAGAGAATCTGAATAATTCCTTGAAGTCATCTTCTAGGAACCTTTTAAATTTTATATCATTACTTAGTTCTCTGGAAATGCAATTATCAAGGCAAATTTACTTTCTTATAACTTGCTTGCATTCTTTCTTCACTCTCCCAACCACTTCTACTCAAACATCATCTAGGCCCAGCTTGCATATTCCAGGCTCAGGGACAAGTACTAAAATTCACTCCAACCTCTGATTTTTAAAATGCTCTTTCTAAGAAGATTCAAAGCCACAGAGAAGTCAGGAGCCATCCTACTATGACTTCACCTCTTCCCACATCCATGCCAGGAAGGATATGTCAGCATATCTCAAGTTTTCTGGGTTGTGCGCAGTCCAAGGTGGCTCTTTTAATCTGCCATGTGCAAGCACCATCTAAAGGTAGTATGCCCAGTCACAGTCTCCTCTGTGGCCTGTGATTCCCATGAAGGCAAGAGAGTTCTCATTCATATTTGTGTTCTTGGCATACAGAGCACACGTAATAAATGTTGATTGAACAAATACAAAGACTCAGTCCTGAACTGCATTCTATAACTATTCCCATCCTGCTGCCAACTGTTACAGTTCTGCTATTCATTCTCCCATTTCTATCTTGGTTTCACCTTTGAGATTGTCCTCACACTGTTATCTCTGCCACTTGGCTGCAATTCTAACTCTCTGTGCTGGAGAGAAACAGATCCCTGAGGAACCCCTCTCCTCGTCTGTCCTGCTTCTGGACTCTTATGTTGGCCCAGGATTATCAGACCAACCTGGGCAGGATTCACCTGGAAGGGAGGTCAGCATCTCTGCAAAGTTCTTGGATTGAGAGAACTTTTATTTGAGCTACGTCATTGAAGAATTTTCAATCCAAACATAGGAAAGTTCTTGAACTCCATTTTTCATCTGAAGCTGATCCGGAACCAGCAAAGAAGAAATAAGTAAATGACAATGAAATCGAATAGAATGAATGGAGTAATGGTATTCACTGAAAGGTTGCATTGAGTATTTGGAATAAAAAAGACCAAAAAAGTAATGGTGGTATCATTATTTGCATTTTCAAAATGGTTTGGTGACTAGAATAAGCTATACTTTGTATTAACTTAAGAGCAATAAATATTAATATATTAGAAGTAGCTTTATTAAATAAGGGCAGTATCTTTATTGCAAAATACTTCAAAGAAGTCATGTGAATATTTATCAGAAGTATTAGGAAATCTTCTTAAATTCTGTATTAAAAATGATTGCTTAATTACTTAGTACTTTTCATTTACAATAACCAAAAGTGATTATCTTCCATATTTTAGATTTTTCAGAGTAAAAAAGATAGAATTTTAGACTGAACATTAAATTGGCTATAACCTGGGTTTTTCCCACATGATTTATGTACATGACTTTATGGTGGTAACTTAGGTATTTATGCAAAAAATGTTAGTTGCAAGTGCTCTTGAGATTGTTCTGATTTTTATGTCCACATTATTGGTCAGTAAGAAACACTGTGGCTCAAAAATTAGGATATGAAGTCTTTCACTCTATCCATAAGCTTCTTGTTCTTGAGTAAAAATAATTTACTCTGAGAGTCTGAGGATTGGCAAGGTTGTGCATTCTGTAATCTTGTTTTGGTGCTCTGCTCCTCATAGTCCAGCTCTTACATAGGGCTCAGTTCTGTATTACTGTAGCAATAGCTAGCTTTTGTTTCTGTAGCCATGGACTGCACCTCCTGACCCTTGTAACCATCTCACACATGCATTTTCCTGCTTAGAATGAAAGGAATATGGCTGAATCAGTCCAAATCCATAATCATTATTGTACTTTGCTTGTGGCAGGTCAGTGGTGACATCCTCTGTGAGGATCACTCCCTATGGTGCTAACAAATGCACACCACCACCAGAACTGGATGACAGCTCACCCATTCCATTTGGGGCACACAGACTGAATGAAAAGCTCCTTGGCATTTTAGCTAACATGAGCTTAAAAGAGGGATGCTTAGATGAGAAAGAATCCTTATTCTAGGCTGAAAAGGAGAAGCTACCTAAAAGGGTATAGGTCAAGGTTGCTTTGATAGGGCTGAGCTAGGCTGAAGTCGGGGGTGTGACTGGCTGGGTTGGGGATAAAGGCTGTTTAGTTGAACTAGGAAGGCAAAGGACTCCAGAGTGGGCCAGGCTGGGAGAAGCAAGGTAGAGTGATCTGAGAGAGCTAATAAGAGTTGAGCTAAGCTGGGCTGTGAGAGAATGGGAAAGAGGCCTGAGGATTTTCTAGACTGTATCAGTCTGGGTTATAGGAGAGGAGAAAATTACAGCTAAGAAACTCAGAGATGAGGTGAGGAAAGGAGAGAGGTCTGATGGGATGGGTGTGGGGATGGGGGAGAGGTGGGAAGGAGAAGTGGAAGAGATATACCAAATAAAAGACCTAGCTCAGGTCTGAGCTGGTGACTCAGCTGACAGTTCTGGAACAGAAAGTTAGGGAGGGAGAGCCAAGAGCTGTCAACTGTGCAGGAGCTGCCAAACTTCAACAGCTGGCTCTGGGAGGGACAAAGATTGAGAAAAAGGGAAGAACTACATAAGAGCAGAAGGTGGAAAAGGGAAAGGGATGGAAAAGGGCAGGTAGAGAGGGGAGTTACTGGTCTGGTTAGAGCTAGGCTAAATACTCACTCTTGCCATCAGCTTGGAAGCAATTGGGCCTGTTGCTGTGTAGGCAAAATAGAAGTGAGAAGCCTGGCTTCTCTAATTCTCAATGGTAGTTAATGACTTTAGAAGGCTGTAATGAACCGTACATACTAGGAAAAGAAAAGGTTAACTGAGGTTGATAAAAAGCCTTACGTGACAGTTTTCAAACAAGCAGGTTGATTTGGCTTGTGTGAAGGCAATGATGCCTGATTTAGAGCAGAGCAATTTATGTTGTACTGTTTTAAAATCCATTCTGGCATGCTGTGATGAATGTGTCGGCTGGCAGCTAAGAACCTGCTGAAATTCAAGAGTCTTTCACCGTTTATAATCGACACTTCCCCTTCCAGGAGAGAGCCTTTCTAATCTCTGAAGCAGTGGACCTATCAATTTGCATAAAATATGCCATTCTCAATGAACACATATTTATCATCCACCAATTACTTTCCCACTGTCTGAAGAAAAAAGAAAATGTAGAATCAGTTTGCAGTGAATTATCACCTTTAAATTCAGCTGCCCTAGATAAATATGTTCAGAGAGGCAGGGAGCCATCCCTAGCAGGGGGAGGGGCAGGAATAAAAGGATGCTTTCCTATTTCCATGATCTCTTTTTTATATGTATGTAATAGATGCTAATTAAATGTAAAACTGATTACAGGGCTATGCTGACATGCTTGTTAAAGTTGTACAGATTGGTTGCTTATCTTTTACCTAACTCTCATCAGAGAGGATCAAGCAGCCCACATGAGTTCAAAGAACTCTGCCAGTCCCCCAGGATTTGCATCAGTCGCTGAACAAGAAAGGAATACCCAGGATCAACAGAGTCCACTCTCAAGTCCCTCAAACACTGTATGTACCACCTACTCACATTTGCCCTGTTCTTACTGCTGTTTATCCATTTGAAAGCCACACCTAAAATCCCTCTTGAAGCTGACTTAACGGAAATGCCAAATAAATTAGTTCAGAATTTTACTAATTTGGTTTCATTTAATCATAACTGATTCTCACTTAATACATATCACTCAATGAAATTACAACTCAGTCACATCTCCACATAGACTACAATTCATTAAACTCAAATAAAATAAAGCAATGAAGAAATAGTGAACAGATGCCATCTTGTTTCAGATCAAACCCTAAGTCATACTTTCAATGAAACTTGACAGCACCTGGCTGGTTAAGTGGCATTCACAGATTTAGCAAATCACTCTACCTTTAATGTCTGTCAGAGAATACACGCATACACATAATGCTACTACAAAGTTAAAAAGAGACTTTATGAAGCCCCATCAGTAGAAGGGGAATTGTGTATGAAAGACAAATACACTATAATCTATCTTATCAAGAGTTAATATTACCAGTAACATACCAAAATTTTAAATGTGAGCTCTTTGACCAGTGTGATGCCTTTTCCAGGAACATATCCTAAGGAGCTCACTAGTAAAAGTACATTAAAATAGCATGCATTCATCACTGATTTCCTTACACAATGAAAACTTGTAAGTAATTGTCCTTTAATGGGAAATTAGTTAAATAAAAATATCAACTCAATATTATGCAGTCATCCAAAAAGATGTTTATATATATTAACATTAAAAAACTTCCTATCAAACCTTTATTAATGCAAACTATAAGATTCCCATGAAAAAAATTAAATAAGACACAAGTAAGTGGAAATCTATCCCATGCTCATGGATAGGAAGAATTAATATTGTCAAAATGTCCATCCTGCCCAAGGCAATTTACAGATTCAATGCAATCCCTGTCAAAATTCCAAAGGCATTTTTCAATGAACTAGAAAAAATACTTCTGAAATTCATACGGAACCACAAAAGGCCCCAAATAGTCAAAGCAATCCTGAGAAAAAAAGAACAAAGCCAGGAGATTACACTCCCTGACTGCAAGCTATATTACAAAGCTATAGTAATCAAAACAGTATGGTACTGGCACAAGAACAGACCCATAGATCAACGGAATAGAATAGACAGCCCAGATATAAACCCACACATATATGGTAAAATAATATACAATAAAGGAGTCATGAACATACCACAGGGAAAAGACATCCTCTTCAATAACTGATGATGGGAAAACTGGGCAGCTACATGCAAGAAAATGAAACCGGATTACTACCTAACACCATACAGAAAAGTAAATTCAAAATGGATCAAAGACTTAATTATAAGAAAATAAACTATAAAACTCTTAGAAGAAAACATAGGCAAAAAAAAATCTCTTGAACATACAGATGAGCAATTTTTTCCTGGACACATCTCCTCAGGACAAAAAATGAACAAGTGGGACTATATCAAACTGAAAAGCTTCTATACAGCAAAGGACACAATCAGCAGAACAAAAAGGCAATCTACAGTATGGGAGAATATATTTGCAAATGATTTATCTGATAAGGTGTTAACATCCAAAATAGATAAAGAACTCATATACCCCAACACCCAAAAAACAAATAACCAAATTTAAAAACGGGCAGAACGATGAACTAGCAGAAAGAGAAATCAGGAAAACAATTCCATTCACATATGCATAAAAAATAATAAAATACCTAGGAATAAACCTAACCAAGGAAGTAAAAGACCTATATACCCTGAAAACTATAAGACACTCTTAAGAGAAATTAAACAGGACACTAATAAATGGAAATTCATCCCATGCTCTTGGATACAAAGAATTAATATTGTCAAAATGGTCATCCTGCCTAACGCAATCTACAAATTCAATGCAATCCCTATCAAAATACCAACAGCATTCTTCAATGAACTGGAACAAATAGTTATAAAATTCATATGGAACCACAAAAGATTCCAAGTAACCAAAGCAATCCTGAGAAGGAAGAATAAAGCAGGGGGGATCTTGCTTCCCAACTTCAAGCTCTACTACAAAGCCACAGTAATCAAGACACTTCGGTACTGGTACAAGAACAGAGCCACAGACCAGTGGAACAGAATAAAGAGTCCAGACATTAACCCAAGCATATAAGGTCATTTAATATATGATAAAGGAGCCATGGATATATAATGGGAAAATGACTGCATCTTCAACAGCTGGTGTTGGCAAAACTGGACACCTACATTAAGAGAATGAAACTGGATTACTGTATAACTCCATACACAAAAGTAAAGTCAAAATGGATCAAAGACCTGAATGTAAGTCATGAAACCATAAAACTCTTAGAAGAAAACATAGGCAAAAATCTCTTGAATATAAACATGAGGAACTTCTTTATGAACATATCTCCATGGGCAAAGAAAACAAAAGCAAAAATGAACAAGTGGGACTATATCAAACTAAAAAGGTTCTGTACAGCAAAGGACACCATTGGTAGAACAAAAAGGCATCCTACAGTATGGGAGAATATATTCATAAATGACATATCCAATAAGGGGTTGACATCCAAAATATACAAAGAGCTCACCCACCTCAACAAACAAAAAGCAAATAATCCAATTAAAAAATGGGCAGAGGATCTGAAAAGACACCTCTCCAAAGAAGAAATTCAGATGGCCAACAGACACATGAAAAGATCCTCCACATTGCTAATCATCAGAGAAATGCAAATTAAAACCACAATGAGATATCACCTCTCACCAGTTAGGATGGCCACCATCCAAAAGACAAAGAACAACAAATGTTGGCGAGGATGTGGAGAAAGGGGAACCCTCCTACACTGCTAGTGGAAATGTAAATTAGTTCAACCATTGTGGAAAACAGTATGGAGGTTCCTCAAAATACTCAAAATAGAAATACCATTTGACCCAGGAATTCCACTCCTAGGAATTTACCCTAAGAATGCAGGAGCACAGTTTGAAAAAGACATATGCACCCGTAGGTTTATCACAGCACTATTTACAATAGCCAAAAATGGAAGCAACCTAAGTGTCCATCAGTAGATGAATGGATAAAGAAGATGTGGTACATGTACACAATGGAATATTATTCAGCCATAAGGAGAAAATAAATCCTACCATTTGCAACAACATGGATGGAGCTAGAGGATATATATGCTCAGTGAAATAAGCCAGACAGAGAAAGACAAGTACAAAATGATTTCACTTGTCTGTGGAGTACAACAACAAAGCAAAAACTGAAGGAACAAAACAGCAGCAGACTCACAGAACCCGAGAATGAACTAACAATTACTAAAGGGAAAGGGACTGGGGAGGATGGGTGGGAAGGGAGAGATAAGGGGAATAAGGGGCACTATGATTAGCACACATAATGTAGGCAGGGTCATGGGGAAGGCAGTATAGCACAGGGAAGACAAGCAGTGATTCTGTAGCATCTTACTACACTGATGGACAGTGACTGTAATGGGGTATGTGGGGGGGATTTGATAATGGGGGGAATCTAGTAACCACAATGTTGCTCATGTAATTGTATATTAATGATACCAAAATTTTTTTAAAAGTTTAAAAAAAAGGGCAGAGAACCTGAACAGACATTTCTGCAAAGAAGTGACCAACAGGCACGTAAAAAGATGCTCCACATCACTAATCATCAGGGAAATGCAAATCAAAACCACAATGAGATATCACCTCACACCAGTCAGAATGGCCACTATCCAAAACACAAAAAATAAGAAGTGTTGGTGAAGATGTGGAGAAAAGGAAACTACTACACTGTTGGTGTGAATGTTAATTGGTGCAGCCACTGTGCAAAGCAGTATGGAGGTTCCTCCAAAAACTAAAACTAAAAATCCCATTCAACCCAACAATTCCACTTCTAGCAATTTACCTGAGAAAACAAAATCCCTGATCTGAAAAGACACATGCACCCCTTTGTTTATTGCTGCATTATTTACGATAGCCAAGATATGAAAGCAACCTAAGTGTCCATCAGTAGCTGAATGGATAAAGAAGTAGTACATACACACAATGGAATATTATTCAGCCATAAAAAGAAAAATCCTGTGATTTGCAACATGGATGGATCTCGAGGGTATTATGCTCAGTGAAATAAGCTCAGATAGACAAAGACAAATACCATATGATTTCACTTATTTGTGGAATATAAAAACAAAGCAAAACAGAATGAACAAAACAGCAGTAGACTCATAGACACTGAGAAGGGGCTGGTGGTTACCAAATGGGAGGAGTTAGTATGGGTCAGTGGAGAGGTTGAGGGGGATAAAGGGGCATAAAAATTCTCAATCATAATGTAGGTTGGTCATGGTGATAGGAGTACGGCATGAAGAATATAGTCAATGATTCTGTAACATCTCCTGTTTTCAGATAGGAGCTGTACTAGAGGGTGTGAGGATTTAATAATATGGGTAACTGTTGAAACACTGTGTTGTATACTTGAAACTAAAATAAGACTGTATATCAATAATAAATAAATAAAAACCATATCATTGCTAAGAAGAAGCAAAGGTATAAAAGATAATTCATGGTATGATTTTCTTTATATAAAACAATTTATATACTTATGGATGGTGGAATTTCAGTAATTTCTTCTTTTTACTTTTTTGTTTAATTTTCTACATAAGTATGTATTTACTTTAACATTAGGAAAAAACATCAAGTTATTTTCATTGTAGAAAAAAATAATTACTCTGTATTTCAGTCAGACCAGAATAGTCATCCAGGAAGCCAAATGTATTTCTGTGCCTTCTGTCAGAAGGAAAATTGTGGATAAACAGACCATATTACAGTGAGAATTTGAATGGATAGTGTCTAGAACCCAAACTAAAACAGGTGAAAGACTACATAAACTAAGGAGGATGCGTTTATCATACACAGTGTTTAAAAGAATTCATTGTGCATGTGAATATGGATTACTGTGTTTTAATGACTGACAAAGAATATTGTGGATTCCAAATGGCAGCTAAGAATATAATGTAATTACCATTGATTTTTCTTATGTAAATTAATGTGGAAAAATCTGACCTGAACAGATGGACCTCCATGCTGTTTTCTAAAACATGAACAGATTTCTGATTTTCTGGACCAGGAAGTGCAGTCAGCACTAAAACAAGAGACACTATCATCCATCTCCTAGAATTTCAACTTAAGCTGCTAATAAAAGCGATATTTACCTCTTTAGAAATACAGCACAGTGATACATTTCTGTCTTAAGGGAATGTGCTCTTGATAGAGCAGCAAAACATAATGGGATATTTGTGGCACTGGAGGTGCTGGTTGACTGGTCCCTGAACCGCACCAATTTTGGAGAATCCCCTCACTGTGGTTCTTGGCAGGTGGCAGCATTTGGCTGCCTCAACCCTTCATTCTCCCAATTTGTCATGGAAGGCACATCCCTGAAGGCTGCCACTCTACCTGGTTAAATATTCATCTCCTTAGCCCAATAGCCCCTTTTCCCTGAGCATCTTCATAGGATCAGTTTCATAAATAGATGTGCTTGGGCTTGAAGACCCAATTATGGGTTCTCTATCAAGTAATTAGCATATTTGTATTTTTTTTCCTGCACCACCACTTTATAAATGCATATCTTAAGGCTGTGGGGAGGGTGGTGGGGCCAGCAGAAATGGCTCTGAGGAGGAGTTGGGACAAAAGAGATGGCCTGTGAGGTCAGGATATTGGTTAGACAAAGGGAAAATGAGCTAAGAGTTAAATGTTTAACAGGAGCCAGATTTCTCTACATCAGAGGAGAAACTTACAAACAAACAAACAAAGAATGAAATTACAAAAAGAAAAAGGTGTTGGAGTGGAGTTGGAGATATTAGAGTAAACTCGTGGGTTTTAATATAAATAGATGAATAGTTGTATGTGCATTGTGTTGGTAAGTTTTCCAGCTCTGTCTGAAAAAATGAACTAAAAGCAATGACACCCCACTAGCAAATGATCACACATAGCACCTAAATCTTGCATTTTCTACTAAAAGGAACCAGGGCTCCTTGAATAAATTGCTTTTGAAATGACTGAAATGGCTGGTGCAGGAAAAGTACAAGATGAGCCTGAAATATCTTACACCAAAAGTTACTCTAAAAATAATATAGCGACATCAAAAGAATACAAGAACCAGCTTGAATGAGATCCCAATGGCCAAATACAGGACAATTTTAGCACCAAAATCAATAATGATAGTAATGCTTTATAATCCATTGAATAAAATAAAAATACACAA